TTAAAAGATTGCTGCGGAACTACTATTTGGAAGCCCTGCATAGTTGTTATGATGCAGAGGATCCAAAAACGTGGAAATCTGTGTGTTTAAACTGTAACCCTTGTCGTAGTTTGAACAGTGTTATAAATTGTTGTTTCTAGTTATTATATATTAAAAGGGCCCACAGTAATTAGTTTTAACTGTTGTGGTGTCCCAGCCATCTGACTGTATGTATTGTACTGTACTGAACTATATATATACTGTACTGTCTTGTGTTAGATTGTATCGTTTTTGGTTGTTTTTTATACTTGGACTGTATTATATAAATATATATATAAATAGCGAAGTTATATAAATAAATAAATAAATAAATCAATCAATCAGACAGTGACTATTATAGAGTAGAAAAAGTAATAAGATCACGCATGCGTAATAAACGTAAAGAGTATTATGTAAAATGGTTGGGTTAGCCTGACAAGTTTAATTCTTGGGTACCAGCAGAGAGTGTAAAAGATCTGAAATAAATGTATTTGAAACTCATAACTTGCGTTCATTTGTGTGTTAGTCTTCGATATGGCAACACAGTTTTATCTCACGTTACCGAGTAACAGTTCTATGGCTTATTTTCAAAATAATACAGTAGCAAATTTTCGAGTGAAATTGGCCGAAACCATTGTCTTACCAGGGCAATGGGAAGTCGCATTGACGGAACTGCATTACCCACATACGTGAAGCACGCAAACGTGGAGTGCAACAAACGTTTTTGTATAAAATTGGCAGTAGCCCTGATCAAACCGTCTTGCTTAAAGAAACACAATATTCTTCTATTGATCTACTATTGAACTAACAAAAGCACTCAATGCCAGCATGTCAAAAGAAACACAGACGAAAGTAAAGTTTAGTTATAATCGCGGTTCTCGCAAAGTTTTGGTTGATGTAAAACACGGCATAACTGTGTGGTTTACCGGAGAATTAGCAACGGCCTTGGGATTTGACCAGGACACTCTTATTGAAAAGAAAACTTCGAGTCTCTATGCTGCAGATATCAATGGTGGATTTTCCTCCATGTATGTCTACAGTGATATCGTTGATGCACAGTTTGTCTGCGATGTAAAAGTGCCTTTACTACGTTCGAATCGTTAACATCGAAGGGGAAAATGGAAACACCGTCCACGCCAATACGTACCGGTCAAAGTAAATTCTCTTGAGACCATTGAAGTCAATATAAAGAATGACCAAAACGAAAACGTCTCATTTGAGTTCGGGAAGTCAATCGCAACACTTCACTTTAGACAGAAGAGATCTAAGTACTTTATCTAAAAATGCGCGGAAGACTAGTTGTAGACGAAAAATTATTGAAAGACCATTTCTTGAGACAGCAGTGTGGTGGGAATATCGCTGGGTTTCGTGGTGCACGTATGCAAAGGCGATATGGGATCGCAGGTATTTTCAAGAGCCTTGCGAGATATGCTGTTCCTCTATTCAAACAAGGTGCTAAAGTTGTTGGCAATAGAGCATTACAAGCAGCCACAGAAGTTGGTCAAGATGTACTCCAAGGAAAAAATGTAAGAGAATCTTTTAAATCACGAGGAAAACAAGCAGCATCTGATGTTGTAGAAAACACCGCCAAGAAAGTAATGACCGGAAAGGTCGCAAAAAGTATAAAAAGAGCAGCGCCAGCTAAAACTCCCATTCGCGGTCCAACCAAGAAGCAGAAAACATCTCTCGATAACTATAGTCCAAAGTGGCATGGCTCAAGTCGCTAAAACAATGCATAAAGACTCCTGTATGTGTTCAAAATCTGAACTTGATTTATTTTATGTTCCACCGACTCAAGTGATAATGGAAAAAGGATTTTGGGAAGATGTTGATCCCATTACAAGTATATATTCTTCAGATACGATAGAATTTTTATGTGCTATAAATTCTGGAGTTTATAGTAATTTAGCAAGCAGTTTCCTATACGTTAAAGCAAAGATCACTACCGCGGCTGGAAGAAATGTGGGTGCAGACATTCAAGTTGGCCCTTCAAACCTTTGGATGCATGCATTATTCTCACAAGTGGAAGTATTTCTGAACAACAAACTGGTTACCCCATCAAGCACAGCCTACCATTACCGAGCGTATATTGAAACGATCCTGAACTTTAGTAAAGACGCCAAAGATTCACATTTGACCTCAGCACTATTGTATAAAGATAAAGCTGGAAAGATGGATGTAGTAAACCCTCTCGCACAAATGCCAACGTCAACATGGGATTAAAACAACGCCATGCATATACACGTGAAAGCAAATCTGTCGCCATGGAAGGAAGAATTCATTCTGATCTATTCGCGCAAGACCGTTATATTCTTGGTGCTGTTCCAATCAAGATGGTAAGATCTTTTGTTTGGTATCATCCGCAGAAAATCCCAATTTCAAAGTGGACATCGAAGAATGTTTGTTTCGTGTACGAGTTAATGTAGCACCTATAAACAGGTGAGCAATTTGTCGACGCTGACCAAAAATAGCGGCTCATTTGCCATTTTCGCGTCAAAGAGCAAAAATATAGACTTTCGGAGAATATTTTATTTTTTATTATATTATAATATTTATGAAACAGTTGATAATCTTACTGAGGAAGGCCAACTGTTTCTAAAAAGCTAAAGTAGCTACGTCGAAATCAGCTTTGGAATAGAACTATATTCTCACCGGGGAAACATGAACTAAATGGATATTTACATCAACACTAAATTTTGCTCGTGCCTACGGAGCTAGTTGGATTAAAACAGATGTTAAGAAGTACATGAAAATGTGACCTTTGTGAATTATACTTTCATTAAAATGTTTCAGGTCTGCTAATGCCAAATGGCACGTGTGACAGAGCTGTCAATATACCCATATTTCAATGTTTATGTTGAAAATATGACCCATCTTCTTTGAGGTATAGTTAAAAAATTAGGGTATGCTCATCACTTGAAACTAGCTTTAAATCAAAGTTTTATCTATAGTCTTTTTATTAGAATTAAAATCATTATGGGAAAAATGTGCCAAAGGGTTGAAATTGCCTTTGTAAATATACACTATTTTTGACATGTTTGGGTTAGTATTTTGAAAAGGTGTTCTGGAAGGAAAACATGTCTTCAACAATACTGGTTGACCATTAAATAATAACTAGTGTTTATGTAAATCACAGAAAATTGGAAAAAGTCTGGTCCATACACAATAGTTTGGATTCTATGAGGTCCCGAAAGTGGCTTATTTCAATGTTTAATCTGTTTACCTGGAAAAACATAGAAAATTTAAAAATTGACTATGTCATCACCCAAAACCAGGTTTTTCTAATTGCTTTTTCACCTGGGTTTGTGGCAATACCAGTTATGCGACCATTTTAAAAATGCGCACGGCACTTTTTTTGGACACTGAAGATGACAACATTTGATGTTGTTATCTATCGCCATCCTTTTATCATAGTATAACTTAACTTATTTTAGTGAGTTTGTTAAAGAATTGTGCTCACTATATGCCTGTAGAATCTAAGATTTTTTTCATAGTATTAGATGATAAATTTAAGTTCTGTTTTCTTTTATTTTTAGGTGATAGTATCTGTTCACATGTGTGTTGGTATCAAATTTTACACAAGATTCAATTATTATTCAAATATTAGATTAGATTTTTGCAAAAAATGAGCTTGCCTGTTTTCAAAGCATAAAAAGCAATAAAATAAAGCAAAAGTACTTATTTTCAATTTAAAACCTTTGGAATGCATATCTTAATGTTTTCCACTAAATATTACAAAGTTTTCGTTCATTAAAATGATGTTACATCAGTTTTAAAACCAGATAAATTCACGAAACACTCCTAATATGTCGCCATATTGATATTCTTCGCGCATGCTCAGACAAATTGCTCACCTGTTTAGCACCTAGTGTTATGATGACTCATTCCCAGTCCCTTCAACAAATTACTGCCAAATACCCAATGAACAGGATTGACCGCAAGGTTGTCTCCGTACCTCGGTAAATGCATCAAATGAGGCACGCCTCGCTAATTACTCCTGTGTGAAAGTATAGGTTTCGGCTTGCATTTTTCTTGGATAGTGGATCGAAGATCGATAGCCACAAAATAGAATATTAATGAGCTGCTTGACTTTCAAAATGGCGGGAACTTTCGTGGAGTGGGCAAAATGTTTTCAACAATTTCGTGAAAATTTTGAACCAGCTGTACCTGTTTTCTATGGATTTTGGATTGTGTGTAACTGTGGACATTCCTGCTAGTTTATTTAATGCGTTTTTCTTGGTGCACGGCTCTGAAAATCCGAAATTTGGATCGTGGAATTCCCGTGCACGATCATATTACTGAATCTGAATATAAACGAGCCAAAGACAATTTCAAGGTAAAAGTTTATAACTTAAACTGCACAACGTAGTTTTAATAAATAACTACTTTATAAGAAGCATCTTGGTGTCATATCGATATGAATTCTATCGAACAACAGTCCGTGAAAACTGCAGTGTACTCAGTGACAGTGTGAAATATGCTATTGTATTTGTATAAAGGCATGTAGTAAAACACTGACTACCGGAACACCGGAACACCACCTAACCCTAACCCTAACCCCAACCCCCAACCCTAACCCTAACCCCAAACCCTAATCCTAACCCTAACCCCAAACAAAATGGTGGTGTTCCGGTGTTCCGGTAGTCAGTGTTTTACTACATGCCGACTAAATTGGCGTTTCACTTGCACAATTCAAACCAGACGGATTGCCATTATATGCATGGTTGAAATAACCACAGTCAATATCGTCCATCAAGGTAATGTTTGGTTTTAAAACATGCTACAAATTTAAATTTTCTTCCATCCTGAAGATGATTGTAAAGCGTATGCGTATAACAGACCGATTATTTCTCATTTATGATTTGATTATATTATTCATAATTCTACTAAAATTTACTGAGTTCATTATAATTATTAGTACCATCAAAGTTTGTGCGATTGTCAATTATGACGGTGATGTCCATCAATTCGTATTCATACGATTTAATCGAAGAAAAGGTTTTTGTACTTTAGACCTTTTAAATCGGTACATTCAAAAGGGCATAGGTGGCAAAAATAGCATAGGTGTATACGTAATAGTTCAGCAGTCTGAATCAGTTCGAAAAATTTGCAGTACCAAATCACCATTATCCTATAATCTAAACATTATCCAAATATTTTGTTATGACTTCTTGGATTAATCATTACCTATTTAAATTTTGGGAATACCAAATATGGCTTGGGGCGTAGCCATGTGGGAGGATTGGGGTCCGGAATTCCCACCTTTCGCAAGCGTTTCCAAAATGCACGAATAAACTTTCACGGACGGACAGACCTTAAAAATAGAAATGTTTCCCATAGTTGTTCATAGCTATTATAATTCGACGGTTAGACACCCCCCTCCCCCCTTCCCGAGTGGTTTAGGAGTGGCTACGCCCCTGAATATGGCTAAATCTCGGTTCAAGACGTAAACAATAAGATTTAACTAGTTTAAAATCTAAAAATACGGGTATTTAATTTACCTTACTTGTCTATAAATGTGAACAGGCAAAAGAACAAAAACTAAGTCAAAAATTGACTTGCGAAGCAGCTTTACCCATAACACCCCATTGTCACATACTATGCATTTGTGCATGTAAATATTTGTGCCTAATTGTGGTTGTTAAAGATTTAAACGCGCTAATAATACATTTTGCGTTTACTTCACTAATGTCTATTTCACTAATGCCCAAATTGATATTCAAACCGGTGTGCTTTTGATACAATATAATTCATGTTCATTCTCACGGCATGGTCTTTTTTGGAATACCCTTTGAAAACACTCATTGCAAACAAATTCCTCGCACTTCCTACATTCGTAATCAGATGGGTTACCACAGAAATTGCAGAAAAGACCTGGATCCATTCCTTGAAAATTGTTAGTTGCATCAAAGGGACCCAGTCCAAGCAGTTTGCCGTCAGTCATCTTGTGTTCAAAGTCTTCTTTATATCTTACCCTTTCTCCTTCTACTTCTTTATGTGTTTTATAATCACCTTGAATAATACTCGGTGTTGAATTTCTATTTAATACATTTTGTTTAATCTTCTCCGCTTGTGCCATACGAGTAGATAAAATCTGGTCAGCTCGCTCTTTTCCAGCCAGAATGTCTTTTCCGACCGTTGTAGTATTTTCGTAAAAGTGACTGCTGCCATGTTCTGAATTTCCACCACGAGCAACTACGTGTTTCTCAGAGCTCGCGCGTCTCATCGCATCAGTTGTCATTTCCATGTTGTCTCCACATTCGTGTTGCAGGTGCGCATGGAGTTTGTTATTAAACGCACGGGGTATGGAGGCCAATGCGGTTCTATCGAAATATACGTAATTGCTTTCTGACATTGGTGGTGGTGATACAGCATGATCACCGTCGCCATCGTCATCGCCATATAGTTCATTATCGGGATAGCTTACAGTGCGCAGTGAGGGAAAACCGCTATTGGCACTGTAATCATGCTGTTCATTTTGGCAACCTTGACTCTTGGCCTGCAAATCCAAGAATTCCTTGTTCTCGTCCAAGTTACGATCAGGTGGGTATCTGACGCCATTTCTATCATAATGCAACGGTTCCGCTTCAACAGTGACCGAATTTGATCTCGGTGTCTCCTCTGGAATATCGGTACTTGAACAACTTGACGGGGTCCTCTTCATAAATCCAGATTCTATTGTTGACTTATTTTTCCCAAGCCATTCACGTATATTCACTGCATTGCCAGTGGTGCTGAGCCAACCTTCCACGATACTTTTCATTGAATATTTGGAAGTCAGATCTTCATTACATTTGAGAACATGCAACTGTGTATGAGCCAGGTATAGTTCGAACCCTATCACTAATACTCGGTCCTCGTTTACAGGTCCTTGTAATGTTAAAATGTTGGACGATCTTTCCTTATATCCGATAAGTCCAAAAACGTCGTACACAATCTTTAATGATAACCATTGTTCAAAATTGTATTTGAAGAATCCTGTATATACCTAAAATATATAAAAAATCGTTAGGGTATTCCATGCTAGAGCTAGTGAAAATTCACAGCATTGACAAGCGAACTTAAAATCCTCATTGATGATTGTTCAGCCGCTCATGCGTAAAAGGCTCTCTAAGTTGTCGTTTTAGACACTAGGTATTCAGTTCTTAAATGTCACTTTGTTATCAAGAAAAACAAATAAACTATTTGGCTGCTCATTCCATTCACCGATTTTTCGGCTTCACATTAACGCTTTTTTCAAATCCCATTAATTCCACTCCTGACATGCATATTTTAAAGGTCAGTAGGAGGTCCACCCACTGGGCAGCCACGCTCGTGCAATTTCCACTTCGCCAATGCGCTGTCATTTTTTCGTGGGTGTGAATAGCTAAGCGGAATTGGAATCTCGCCCCGGGCTACTTGGGGATTATTCATATTGTCGATTTAACATGTTTGCTAATCTTTCAAGAAATAATGACTAACTTAATAGGATGGAATTAGTACTCTCGCCCCGGTCTTTCGGTTTGATGGGTCGGGGATCGTTATGGCTTTCCTGACTAAATAAATCTGGTTCAGGTAAACCACATCGTAAACCACAGTCAATCTAGATGATTTGGAAACTCGGCCAACGCTTTTCTTCTATCTTTTCTTTGTTGTTTATAAGCAAATTTGTGCAGGGGGAAGACAATGAAATTTGGGTGTTGTTCATTCCTCCGAATTGTTGAAATAAGAATCAAAATTTAGAAAGATTTGTGCATGGCGAAGACGTCTCAACTTAAATGCACCTAATCCCCCCCCCCCCCATTTTTTATCCATATAAAATCTTGGCATGATTTCTATCTTGGCATGATTTTTCCTCCGAATTTTATGACAGTTTAAAATTAGTAAAATGGAACTTTTTGATGGACCTCATCAGTGGCTAAGAGGAGTCTGGAACGAGTAAATTTCGTGACGTAATGCGAGGTCTTCGTCAAATTTTACTGTCGGCCGTCTTCGAACCTTGTAAAAGGTGTATCATATGTATGTTCAACTCTATCAGTTAGCAAACAAGGAAGTAATTTGTTACTTGTGAGTCAGGATGTTCACAATGCTTGGATTTTTGCGACAAGTCGAACATTTGACAACTCTTTGTTTTTTACTTCGACTTGTTCAATAAAATAAGACGTTTTATTAAATTTAGGCACTGGGTTTATTAAAATAGAGGCCTAGTTGCCCAAATTTGACTATGCAGGTGCAAGTAAGTCTAAATGTATTTAATTCGTTGATTTACACAATACCATATGAGTATAGCACTGACATAACACGAACTACTATGCACAGCGTGAACCATGCACTTGGGATGTTGCTCGACTTTCGGAAAGCGTAAAAATACACTCGCCTGCGGCTCGAGTAATTTTACGCTTTCCGAAAGTCTCGCGACATCCCTCATGCATGGATCACGCGATCCTGTACGGAAAACCATTCGGTATTCCTTTAGTATTATTTAATGGAAAACATTAAGACATGCATTACAAAGGTTGTAAATGTCAAAGAAGTGATTTTGCTTCATTGATTTGCTTTTTATGCTTTGAAAACGGGCAAGCTTATTTGTTTTGGAAAATCCATTTAATCCAAGAACAAAAATTTTGCAACATATTTGTAGACTTTTCAATGCTGTTTCTCTAATCATTTTATAAAAGTGGGAAATAAATAAAGTGTTAGCTACATGTATGAAAAACATAGTATGACTATACCATAAAATTGAAATGTACTTAATCCATTACGCTGAAGTTTATAAACACAGTAGGTGAACTTCACATGATAAATAATATTAATTTCCCCCCACTAACTTTTCCATGAAGGTTGACCAATAAGGATAATTTTAAGCCATGTTTCAAAGAAAGGCAAATGGCCAAAGATATTTTAATATGTATGCCATATCACAACAGAATCTCACAAAGCAAGCAATGCCTATATTTAAGACTGCCGTTAGAGTCTTAAAATTGAACAAATCAATACGGCATTTTCTAACTCATATAACAACTAATACTTGGACATGTTCAGGAGCACTTATGCATTCAGCTATTTTTACTTTACAAAGGGGCAGTATCATAAGCATGTGGCAACATGACATTTTCACTACACAAGTGCATTTGTCAATGGTTCAGGCTTTAATAATATACATAAAGATATTACTCGACTCTGATTGGTTAATTTCAGTGCAGTTAATCCCAAACAGCAGTGCAATTTTCTGTAATCACAGTGCAATTTTCTGTAATCACAGTGCAAAAATCTGTAACAAACTGATCTGATTGGTGGAAAAACATTGTGATGATTAAATCAACCAATCAGCGGTTTAAAGCAGATTAGTTTAAGGAAGTAACCGTCACAGATTGCTTCTAAACAAAACAAACATGGCGCCGCGCTACATAAAGTGAAAGTTGACTTCGGTTGAAAAATATGGCTATCTTTTTTTTTAAAATGGAAAAGCCTTTACCTTAAACAAGACTAACAAAACTTACATATATAGTTGATTGGAATTTTCAAGCTGTTAGCGTTGTATAATGTGATATAACAAAGCCAGGAAAACTTTGCTAGTGGAATGTTCACTATATTAAACGTAAGTTAAAACTACAATTGTCTCGAACATTTTTATGTAAATTATTAATAAGTAATAGCATGGTTTCTCGTGAAATTTGGATAAACATGCACTCGTGAGTTTTTCAAAGACCTCAAATAGCACTCGTCCTTCGGACTCGTGCTATTTTGAGGTCTTTGAAAAACTCACTCGTGCATGTTATATCCAAATTGCACTCGAAACCATGCTATTACCTATACTAATAAAACAAAGTATGATTTAACTTCAACAAAATACATTTTCTATCTAAAGGCAACGGCCAGTTTGTACAAAATTGAAAGAGGAATGGGTGTCATTTTCTCTAAAATATGTATTTTAAGACAATTACAATTCCTGTTGAGGAAGGTTTACAATAGATGTCCCAGCACTACAACTTAATCTTTCAAGAAACACTTTTCACACTTTATTTTCCATGAACAGACCAGTAAAAAAGGGAAACATTCCTCTCAAAATTCATGCTTTCAGCGTTCGAAGAATAAAATGTTTAGTTCAAGAGATGCGCCCGCGCTAGCAGAGATGCGACAGCGACAGCAGAATGCCCACTTGTGGAACAAGGAACAGGTGGGAAATTTGCTGTCGCTGGCCAGCAAATTGCGGGCGCTAGCGAAAATTTTGTTTTAAATTATTAAAATGAGCAAAAACAAGTTTTTGGGCTTCTCGTTTGGGACGAAAACAGTGGATGTGCAAGAATTTAAGTTCGTTTATTCAAAGGCTGTTGAAAAATGTCCTGGATAAAAGACTTTAAATTGAAATTGGACAATTATAAACTATTTATTTCTACGACAAAACTTTTTTCGATGATGCAAGTTGTTTTCACTCCCTGGACAGATGAAATTAAAAAAATAAACTCAGGGTGGGTTTAAAATTTGTTTTTAACGCATTTTTCTACTCAGAAATATCTTTAGAAAGTATATTTATGTTTAAATCCTTGAAAACACTTAGTGCAAAAATCGTGATTTTGCTTAAAATAGGAAAAAGCTAAATTTTCAACTTAAGATTGTAAAAAATCTAGTCGAGAGCCTCAAAACGAGACTATCTCTAATTAGTATAAAACTACTAGTAGGCTATCACATATCGTGCCTTCTGATTGGCTACGCTACTAATAGGCTATTAGTGATAGCCTACTAATAGAAAATTCAAAATGGCGGAAAATTCGCGTTTTGCACTTTTGACGATGTGTCTGATGATTTTTTGGACGACTTGTTGAACAATTCTGTACTAAAACCCCCCGAAAAAGGCAACAAAAATATGGAATGGCAATTTTTAAGGGTAAGAAAATAGACAAAATAACATACACTCAATGAAATTTTAACATTAAAACTGAATTTTGTAAAACATTTTACGCGAACAAAAACTAAAATATTTGTTTACCTTTAATGGTTTTATAATGTTTTTTTGTGTATTTTTGTATTGTGTTTGCAGCCTAGTTGTAAATTAATGTCAAAGTTTATACTAAAACAATTAGACAACTCGGCCTCGTTGTCTATGAGCAAATAGTCAACTCGGCTTCGCCTCGTTGACTATTCGCTCATAGACAACTCGGCCTCGTTGTCTAATTGTTAAATAGTGAATATTGTGAATATTTTTAATTTTGTATGAATGGTGTGAATATTTTTAATTTTGTACAAAATTAAGCGCAATATGTTCTTGGAGAAAGTATCGAATGCTTCATAACAACGCTCAGATCTTGTATACAGATATTCGTATTTTATTCAAAATCTACCCTGTATCACCATTTTTTTTATTCTTTTATGTTAAAGTATACATAATCCTTGACTTGATAACACGATGATCTACTCGATAAAAATTGGGCAAAGGGGCGATCTTTGCAGAGAAACTTGACCGTTCGGTGAAATCGGTAGTTCAGAGACCCTATTTTCATTGCAGTATTTCGTGACAATTTGTTGGCCGATTTCTAGCTTATACTGTAGAACGGGTTCCTAGTGAATTAAATTAATTGTTTATCTTCTAAACAGTAGTAATAAGCGCGACTCCTTTTTGCTGATGGATGTTGAACTCATTTTAGACTTTCATTCATATACAACAAGTACACTATCGAGTACTGAATCACTGTTTGCAAAGAAATTATAGCCTTACCCTGGCTCTAACCCTAACCGCTGATCCTAACTCATGATCAGCGAGACATGAATCTATATCCACAAGTGAACAGGGTGGACTTTCGTCTACGCATGCGCGAGAAACGTAAGCGTGGAGTGCACGTGACCGCGCGGGTTAATCGCGTGACTGAATTCTAAAAACAAACACCAAATTTGCCAAAACTACTCGTGTTATGAAGTCGTTTTCTTGTTTCTTTAGTGTTTCTACGCACACAATTTTAGGCATTTCCAACTTAGAAGTGTTTGCTTTGGAATAAGAACGTGAAAGTAGAAATAAAAACTTTGTTGCAGCAGTTTAATTTCGCCGTACAAATATACCTGTTTTATATGTATATCTTTTTCGAAGTGAGATATACAAGTGCAACTTGACCTTCTTTAAATTCGTACTTGCCCTATTTTTGACTCCATAAAAACTACTTTTATCCATGGAGAAACTATTTGACTTTCAAAATAAGCTTGAATTATGGTGGTGATATAGGATAGGGCTCAGTATAAATAGCGAGACATGAATTTATAAGTCAACCTGTTGTAGCGCGCAAAATGCGCCTACATTTATAGCCAAATTTTATTATAGGCCTTACGACAGCTGTCTTCTATGACGGGCGCCATGCAAGTAGTTTCCAATTTGCTTCTTCAACTCATGCTCGTATGTGAGTTAAAATTTGGTGACTATCGTCCGCTGTTTGTCGTAGACATGAGATAAACATCTTCGGTAGCATGTGAACTTTGAAAGTCGATTAGTACAACTTGAAAACAGTCTTTTCTTGCGTTTAAAACGCATACACTTAGTTAATGTCCGATTGAAAAATCACAGAACTGGGTACGTCAAAGCGCAAAGAAAATCCAGTGTTTTGGATGTGTATGCTATAGGCCTTTCCAAGGTTTCTACCGCCATATTGCAGGGGGTGCAAAAACATTGGGGCGAGCGCGCGGCCACCAATGGCGCCCATACTATTTCCTATTGAGTGAGTGAAAATTACCTTTTGACATTTTGTCCTTTTTCTCAAAAAATTTCTATACAAGCATATCCAATTTTTATTTTTAGATAATCGCTGGGGTTTTTCTGATATGTGGCCGAGATTTCTTGCTAATCGAAGGACAGGAAGTAATAAAAAACGGCGGCTTTTGTTGTACAACTTGACCGACGTTTGAGCGATGATTTTTGTACAAATATACAAATATAAACAGTAATAATGGCGGACACCAAAGGACTTACACACTTAATGGACAAATATTCTTCCAAAGATCGGTTAAACAAACGAAATAACAAGAATCATTGCTCAAACGTCGGTCAAGGTGTGCAACAAAAGCCGCCGTTTTTATTACTTCCTGTCCTTCGATTAGCAAGAAATCTCGGCCACATATCAGAAAAAACCCAGCGATTATCTAAAAATAAAAATTGGATATGCTTGTATAGAAATTTTTTGAGAAAAAGGACAAAATGTCAAAAGGTAATTTTCACTCACTCGATAGGAAATAGTATGGGCGCCATTGGTGGCCGCGCGCTCGCCCCAATGTTTTTGCACCCCCTGCAATATGGCGGTAGAAACCTTGGAAAGGTCTATTATAAACAGTCTCATGTTAGGTATCTAATAATATACATAAAAATATTACCGGACTGTGATTGGTTGATTTCAGTGCAGTTTATACTAAATAGCAGTGCAAAATTTGTAATCACAGTGCAATTTTTTGTAATAACATTGCAATTTTCTGTAATCACGGTGCAATTTTCTGTAACCACAGTGCAACAATCTGTAACAAACTGATCTGATTGGTGGAAAAACAATGTGATGAAAAAATCAACCAATCAGTTTAAAGCAGTCCTCAAGTAACGGTCACAGATTGCTTCAAAACAAACATGGCTCCGCACTACAAATGGTAAAAGTTGACTTCGAGTGGAAAATACGGCTTTTATCTTTTTTTTTTCAAATAGAAAAGACTTTACCTTAAAAAAAACTAACAAAACCTTCATAGTTGAGTAGAATTTTCAAGCCGTTAGTGATGTATATAATAGAGACCTTACGATTTTAGGAGGGCAACGCGACGGCAACGGCTACCAATACAATAGAGTATTGAAAAGAATTGAGAAATTACAATATATGAATAATTTAGACATTGTCCTCGCTCTGTTTACAACGCCAAATCACAAATTTTCACGTCTTGATACAGCGGCCACATTTCAAGCCGCAACAAGTGCAACTTCAAACTGGGATCAGGAGAACTTTTCCCAATCATAAAACCCGTGTCTTCAACTTCTATAAGACTGTATTAAATTCATACGATTGATAATGTACGACGAATTATCTTCACTACCACTTATTTGAAGGAGTTTGTTTTGGCCGTTGTCGTCGCGTTGCCGTCCTAAAAGTAAAATCGTGAGGTCTCTAATGTGATATAACAGAGCAGGAAAACTTTGTCAATGGACGGTTCGGTATAAACGTAAGTTAATACGTAATAGCGGATGGTTTCTCGTGAAACTTGGGTAAAACAAGCACTCGCAAGTTTTTCAAAGACCTCAAATAGCACTCGTTCTTCGGACTCGTGCTACTGTAAACGGTTGTTCCTAATTCAGTATGCAAGTTGTAACTTGTTTTGTTGTTGTTCTCGTTTCGTTTGAAATATTTGCCGTTTACAATGCCAAATACATGCAAATCCTTCCAAAATCCTTCTATTTTCTCAGGTTTGTCATATAATAAAAATCCTATTGAATGGTCAAGCCGGTTTTCCACTTCGCCCGTATCGTAGCGAAACGTACTGGTGAGCATGCGCAGATTGAAAAGAGGTTTATAAATCCACGTACTTCCGGGCGTATTCGCGTATCAAAATAAAAAGTTCGTCGCAAGTCAACTTTTTGGCGTACTACGGATATACTAAGGCGTAAAAAAAAATACCTGTGGTTCCGGTTTCATATCGTGAAAAAATTAGGGTCGGTAGGTCGGAAAATAAATATTTTTTTTTTAATATTTTTTTCATGGTTTTGGTGGTTTTTTGCTGGGCGATTTGCAGTATTGTCCCGACATCAATATTAACTAGAGATGCGTATTTCCTATGGTCGAATTTAGGCAATTTGGTTAAATAATTAGTGCGACAACAGACGCCATTTTGGCACGCTGTATGAGCAGCCCGCAACCACCTGGAGAAAATAGGGTCGCACGGTCAATCGCGTTGAAAAAATAATAGGGTCGGCAGAAAAAAATAGGGTCGGTCGGGAACCGGAACCACAAGTATTTTTTTTTACGCCTAACCAATCAACATTCACGAAATTTTGAAATTTAAAAACGTTTTTGATAGATACGTTTCGGTACGGTACGCTTGAAGTGGAAAACCGGCTTTAGACATATAATCCTGCCGAGCATTTTACTCGTTTTTTGCGTTCTTCCTCGTCCTCGAAAAAATACGTTCGAAACTCGTATACTCGGCCGGATTATATGTCAAACCATTCAATAAGATATATATATATATATACAAATTGCGGCTGAAATATTTTAAGCTGTTAAGCCTCGTATATGAAATATTCTGAAGTCTACGTGCATGCAACAAGGCTTAAAGCTGTATTGGGATCGGCTTTGTGGGGATCGGCTTTGTGGCCGCTTAATAGAGGTGGCCGCTAAATAGAGGTACGCAAATAATAGACCCTGGGAGTTGTCAAATGTCTATTTTTAATTATAAATCACAGAATACAATAATAAGTAGACTTTAGAAATATCAGGCCGCCAAACACTGCCACTTTTACTACAGACAATGCTTTTGAGGTGTAAAGTGGCATGTGTTAAAACATAATTTTTAAGCATTATTTTACAAATAAAGCAAATTAACTCGACTTTTATTTTCGGCTCTCTTGACAAGGTGTTCAAGTAAATCCTGCAGGCTGGCCGCTTAATAGAGGTAAAAATTGACATAAAACATCATTTGGGACCGCTCTTTAGGTGGTCACGGCCGCTTAATAGAGGTGGCCGTTTAATAGAGGGATAGTTTATAGTATTTGTATTACAAAAATTTCGGGACTTCGATATGTGGCCGTTTAATAGAGGGTGGCCGCTCAATGGAGGGCCACTTAATACAGGTTCGACTGTATGTGTATACTAATTGCTATATAGTATTTAAGGGGAGGGTTGGCGTGGCAATGGCCGCATGACAGGGAAAGAATAAATTGCGGAATTATACAATCTGATCATGAGATAAATGCGGACTACCTTCCTTGACGTCACAATACGGGCTAGACTCAGGTTCTTTGCGGATACAAAATACGCCGGGCCATCGAGAGCTAAATTCAAACCGCCGTAAAAATCGAACGACTTGCCTAAATTTAAAAAAATTCACAGATATACTAGAAATCATGCTAAGATTTGATATCGCCAAAAAAAGTTTGGGGTTAGGCACACTTTACAATTGTAGCTCATTATAGTATACCCTTTGAAGCTTGCCCAGACTCTCAAAACACATCTCGATTTACTATGTATACAAATCTACCAAAACTATACCTTGATTGAATGCAGGTCCTTACACCAAGGCTTAGCCAAAATACTTGTAGCATATTTTTCAAATTGCTGGAAAACCTTAACAAGGTGTTCAAATTCTGCATCATCTTGTTTTGGTTTCTTTAGGAAATCCTTTCGTATATCATTAAAGGGCAAAAGTTTAAAACAATCTGTTGTATGATGTCCGTCCAGAAAACGTAAGCACCTTGTTCTAAATCTCTCTGGTTCTGATACAGATTTTAAAATTAACTTTTTGTATTCGTCTTTCAGTCCATCATGAGAGACGTCCATTTTGATAACCAATTATCTACAAAATATACAAAATATAAGTTTATTAACTTTTATGGAGAATTTCTCGACAGCCACTCAATCTTACAAAAGAAGTTTGACCAAAGGCACGTTTATGAAAGTGTCCTTTCCTTTCAAAACCATAGTTTCAATAAAATAGTTTTCCTGCACGTGTAAGTGGTTTGCAACCAACACCCATTAAGGAATCAGAAGAAATTTTCGCAATGTTGAATACAATTTGCATTGCAATTTCGCATTTATCCAACAAGGCGGAGATTTTCCGTTCCGTAAATCGCCAGGGTCACCAGTTACAATCGGTGCCACTACTTTCAGCCTGCGTCACATCCGGTGAATATCAAATGAGATATTCACCTATTCGTCTAAACATTGAGCTGATACGTCCCTCTAATCTAATATAATCTAAACTTCAAATCAACGGAAATGTGGAAGAAATTGAAATAAATTTTCATAATCTGAGCATCGAAGTTCCGTAGAGTCATTTTTATAAAGAAATGTTGCAATTTAGAGGATATTTATAATTAAATAGATAGCTCGTATCCATTTACATTCATTTGCAATTTCTCAATATTTTTCGGTGCAAATGAACAGAAGATATCGATATTGATATTGGATTCACTCCAAGAGACTCAAGTACGCCTGAAAAGGAAAGTGGAAAACATGCTTTAACACCCTCGAAGGTTGATATCGAACCGATTATATACGACGCCATATTGATTGCGTTAACTAGCAGAGGCTTCCTTTATTTCGCTCTTCCCACCACTCCTTGCGTGCTCACTTTTCCCTCACTAGAAACTTCATGTAAGCCTCTGCGGAGGAGAGAGTTATACAACCGGTCCCTGACGATTATGAAGCAAATTGTTTCTGGCATTTTGCATTCAAAATCCTTCAATTCTGCACCAGTAAGTGCAGGAAATGGCATTTTACAAGTCTTAATTTTTCAAATGCACCCCCCCTCTCCACACCTAGCCTAACTTTAAATATCTCAGTATACGCTGCTGGTATAATGTCTATCAATCTGTATCACCAATATCTTTTTAGGGGAAACATACGTAAAATGTTGGTCACGTAAAAAGAATGGCATTTTTACCTAAAGTATGATCACCAATTTTCAGAATCTTGATGACTAGTTCTCGATTTTTATTGTAAATGTCGAGCCACCTGAAAATCAGGGTCATAAGAAGCTCAGTAAAGTACGTTCATGGGATAACATTTCACTGGTCCTGATGGTCCTAATAATAATCTTAAAATTAATATGTGACAAACGTAAATGTGGTATAACGTACATCCATTATTTTAAAATATGTATAACTATTAGTTTCACATCTTGTACAGTGCTGCATGGTTACCATTTACGTTACTAGTTTTAGATTGCTAGAAGTTCGAACTAATCTAAAACAGTTTACTATAGGCCTATATATAGAAATCACATCATTCAAGTCCACCTTATCACAACCCGCACACCCGATTACCTATATATACATGAACTTACGGTTACAGCTCAACAGCTGGCCTCTGTAGCTCAGTTGGTTAGAGAGCTGCACCGGAATCGCAGGGCCGTAGGTTCAATTCCTACCAGAGGACCTTGTGCTGCATTTTTCGCAGTCGTTCCTGGTCAGGTCTTAAAATGTATATAGTCACTTGGATTACAAACCCTAACATTCTAATATTAATTCCACCAAGTGAAGTGCAAGAAACCACATCATTCAAGTCCGCCTAAAAAAAATACCTGTGGTTCCGGTTTCTAATCGTGAAAAAACTAGGGTCGGTAGGTCGGAAATACATTTTTTTTTAAATATTTTTTTCATGGTTTTGGCGGTTTTTTGCTGGGCGATTTGCAGTAGAGTCCCGATGTCATCAATATTAACTAGAGATGCGTATTTACTATGGACGAATTTAGGCAATTTGGTTAAAAAATAGTGAGCTTAAGCAAGTGACGTTTTTGTCACTTGCTTAAGCTCACTAATTAGTGTGACAACAGACGCCATTTTGGCACGCTGTATGAGCAGCCTGCAACCACTCGGAGAAAATAGGGTCGCACGGTCAATCGCGTGGAAAAAATAATAGGGTCGGCAGAAAAAAATAGGGTCGGTTGGGAACCGGAACCACAGATATAGAATTTTTGCTAAGATAATCTACGTCGCGCATATACGCCCTTTGAGTGAAATACTGTATTTATTCCGTAATGTATATATACTATTTGTTGTTGGAGGTGACCTCACTAGATAAGCCCAGTGGTTTCATGAGGTCTCCTCGCCATCTGTTATTTTCGTTTGTACTTTATCTGTAATTGTATTATTGTATGGCGAATTAATGAACGTTTCAAGTTTCAAAGTTATTAGATTCAACACTGTACGTCATCTTTTCTGTGACTGTCAAGTTCTTTTCAAATGTGTTCTTCATATTTGCAAGAAAGTGCAAAGTGGTATTCATCTTCAATTCAATTTTCACAGAAATTGCACAATTGTTACTCATGTGATCATGGGGAATTTTGTGGTATCGACCTCATTCAATTCATAGTTTATGAAACCTACAATCCAACGGGGATAACATTTTGAAATTTCCAAGGTTAGGGGGGATGCGCACCCCCCAGGAAAATCATCTCTGATTATTTATTTAACCCATTCAGTTGCACTAAATACACCCTATTTATTATTTTACAATTTTACTCATCGAGAGATCGCTGGCATTCAATGGGTTAATCATACTATCTGCTCATGTGTCTTCGGTGGCACAGTCTGGGGCTTCAGTGGCGCAGTCATCAGCACAAGCGCCTTTTATTCGTCTGAGATTGTAGGTATCGATTCTTGCTATTGATTCATGTAGAAAGGTCAATGCTGTGTATCAGCTCATGTGTCTCCGGTTTTATCCCACAGGGAAAGTTGACAGAGTGGGTTTGGATAAACATAGTTATAGGAAAGTAATATCACAATCATTGTAAAGATACTGTAAATAGTCTAGGCTAAGTGGGTAATATAAGTAAGTAATCGGTCCCTGAAAAGCCCCTAAGCTGAACAATAACTATGTATATATGTATATGTCTAGTTAACCCATAAAGTTGCATTGTACTCCCAATACTGTACATTGTACTCCCAATGCATCCTACATTTATTATCTTATGTAAAATTGTCTGGCATTAGACAGGATAAGATTCTTATCCTGTCTAATGCCAGACAATTTTACCTATCAAGAGGAGAGCACTGTTGCTCAATATGGGTTAATCAGACTATCTGCAGGGGCAGATCTCTATTGTGCATTATCTTGCAAGTCTGTATTGTACTTTTGTCCAGGGGGTGTACCATTATTAGATTGTTCAATCTAGAACTCATTAATAATTCATGAGCAAATTAGCGAATGAACTCACCCTAATTCGTCACATGATTGAGGTTGGATACCGCAAGGAAACACGCTAAAAATCATATACCATCACTGTTGTTAGATGAAAAACGGTTTTCATCTAATAACTGAGATCCTAATTACAAATTCAAGTCAAAACACAACAATATACTATAATAATTACTGACGGTCATAATAACGTATTGTTTTCTCTCTGCATTATATCAGCGAATGTCGAGAAGCTAAAATAGCACCCAGCATTATTAAAA